CTCACGATGCCCCAAAGGATCAACCAACTCCACGAAGCGAAAGGAAGATCTACTAGATATTAATTAAATTATAAATATATCAATTCATGTGAATATAACTGAAAAATTAATTTTTCCTGAAAAGGTGGTGTCTATTTACTTGTGACTACGCTGTGTATAAGGAAAATGCTAAGTGAATCATGAGTTTTATCTAACAAATATATCTCTATATATTGGAAAATCACTAGTTAAGGTTAATAAAACATGTATTTTTATGTTATCATCTTTTAACAGGCAGTTATAAATTAACTGAAGCAATGGTTTTAGTTATTTATCCAATCTGAACAATTAGAAATTGTTGTTGTGTTTCAAGCAAGTTTGAATTTTCACAAGTTTTCTTTACAGTAGTAAATTTTTTTATAAATTTAAATTATTATCTGTTAAATAGTATGATCTCAACACATTCTGTGCTGTTCACAATGTAACACTCAGAATCTGATGCATCTACTTATAAACTTACATATACAATTCTGTTCACACTGGTAGGCTACAATTTATACACCCATTTCTATTTAAACATAGAAAACAAATTACACATCCAGTTCTATTCAGAAATCTGTATTTTAAACTTTGAAATATTTCAACCTTGTAATGCAATTTACTGGTAAAAATGTGAAGATATATGCCACATACTGAACCATCTGCTTGCTTTGTAACTAACTGTTCCTGCAAAGTTCTTTCAGCATCAAGGTGTTTGCACTGGTCATACCAAATTGTCTCATGCAGGAGGGGATGGGTCATGTTGGCTCCTGCAAAGGATGTTCTCACTGAAAAAAAAGAAAAAAAAAGAGTAATTATTATCAAATATTAGAACTAGTAAAAAATAACTACTTAAGATGTGTTGAATGTACTTAACTGTGTGAAGGCTAATGGAAACTTGATTTGAACATATCTATGGAATATCCCAGGATTTAATGAACCAAATGTTATAGCTGAAAACTAAAAACCATGAAGGTCAACTTAAGTGTATTTTAGTCCTTAAGTTACAGACTCATTTTATACCATTTTTTTGTTTTTTATACTGATGAGGGGTCCACATTTAATAATTTTGTTTTTGCCTGTTACAGCTAGGACTATTGGATGAAATCAGTTCTATACACATTACAAAATAGACCCAGCAGTAATTATTGGAATTAATTATGATATTGAAGATATTTAGTTTATATATTTGTGTGAATTATGTTATTAGAGTCCTTGTAACTTACAGAATAATTTGGTGAATAAATGGTTTAGAAAAATGTATTTAACAAGCAGTTGGGTCACTTTGGTAATTCTATGGCTAATTTCAGTTTCACGGACTTTGTTAGAAAGCATATGACACTCAGTTAAGATTATTTTAAAATTTAAGTGCACAGTAATAATAATATTATTATATGACATAATGATCAGTCACTTAGATAATACAATAATATTAAATACCATATTAATCACTTCAATAATTTTTACTTTAGCAAACCTTACTAATATTACAATAGTATGAAGCCATATCAAACTTGGTTCAAATTGAGTTTCCTCAGTTATTTCTTGTATCTTATTCAAATTCCACTTAAAATATATATCTCACATGTAGTAGATATGAATATTTTACTATTTTTATATATATGTAATTTGCTGACCTTACTGATGTGAACCTTGCGAGAGCATACTCTACACACTACCCAAGTCAGTAAAACTGTTCACCATTTCAACTAGTACTAGTATTAGATCAAGAGGTTGTAACACATAATATTGAATTATATGATAACACATTTTTAATTAACTCATGTCACCGTCTAACAATAAAGTATCTAATCATTAATGTTAATAATATTAGTTGCATTTAAAATATCCGTTAACTATTGTTAAAACATTAATGTAAATTGTAAAACTATGTGACATGAAAGTGAAAGGCATAACGAGTGCACTTAACGGGCACTTCAAAAGTACCCAGTAAATGCGGGATATTTCACTACTAGTACTAGTACTACTTTAAATTTATTGATAATTTAGATTTACTGAATTTTAGCGCAAGTTATAAGAATTATATTCACACTTTTAAATTTAATGAAAGTTTTATTGAATTTGAAGTTCAATTATTATAGTTCGCTTACTTTGTTATTTTTAATTCTAAAGCTTTTTGAATCAGCATACATATATAATCGATTATTTTTTAACGTGGATTATTAGTTTTTCGTTCTACTAAGTACTAGTGAAGTAGTGTACAGCTTGCCGAAACTGTAAATTTATGTAAATCAAAAGTCCAGTATCTGTAAATTATTCAAATATTTTTATACTTTAATGGCTTATAACACGCAAAGTGTATCTAACTTACATTTATGGGATAAATAAATGCTGTTAATGATCAAAATATATTAATTTTGTTTAGTTATTAATTACTCAACCATACCTCGACAACGTGACGAAGTGGAAAGAAAACGTGTTGAAGCACAGTATAGATGTCGCTTATTCCTTATTCAGCATATAAATCATGTTGGAATTTAAGTCCTATGTAATCATACTAATTTTCCTAGAAAATGTAAATCATTAATTCTTATTACAAATAAAGTAGCAATAAAAGCTCAAAAACCAAAGTTAATAAGAGTAATTATAGCATCAAGTTTTCGAAGAGAAAGAACAAAATAAATAGCATTTCTCTAAATGCACATGAATCAATTACACGGAGAGGTAGGAAGTCGGTATCTGATATGTGATGAGTAAAGCTACCAGAATTTTAACCCTTTTATAACTTAGGACGAGAATGAGAACATTTGTTTTATTTAAATATGTTCAGGAAGTTTTTAATTGTATATTTTTTCATTCAATTATTTCGCTTACTTATTAAAAATAAATCTTGATCCTGTCTTTTGGCAGGTATTTTCATAGTAGGGACCAACAGGTACTTATATCTAATGCTTTGACCTGTTGAACTGCGTGAAGCTTGTGTTAGAAGGTCTCTTGCTTAGACAATATAATAGACGCGTGGAAAAAAGAACAACCTGGATACACTGTCTCCCCTAATATATATAACGGAATGATCTCTGATGTGAACAACTAGTTCCAGCAAGACTGTAAGCTGAAATGGAGAGAAATCTAGAGCAAAGTTTATAAGACACAATCAAATTTATACTGGCAGTGTTTAAATGCTTAGTAATCGCCATTGTTTTGGAACTTACAGCTCTATCAGCCAGTGTATTAGAAAGCCAGCCAAATTATGGTATAGAAATAACATTTGCGAGTTGTGATTGTATGTTGTGGAGTAAAGTTGCTTTTGTTACCTTTAACAACTTTATGCTTATCCCTGCTTTTACTGGTCGTGTTTCCATTTATCTAGTCTTGCAAATGTTTACTTTTGAAGCTATGTTGTATCTTGCTTATTCGTTGATTTCTGTTTTACCTGTGAATAACCATAGATTAAATACAAAGACAAGAAAGATTTGAGCCGTGACCAAGCATTCGAGTTTGTAAAATTTTAATTGTTAACAGAATTTCTAATATTCCCTTGAACTTAGCCAGTGAAGATGAGTAAGGCCTAATAATTAGAATGTCGTGTTATGGATCTAAGGTCCACGATTCGTGTTCTGTTAATAATAAAAAAAAAGAGTGAAAAAATTGTTATCTGCTCTTAGAGGTCTTGATGCATTATAAGAATGACAATCACATCTTATTATTTGATTAGAGTAACCAAAGAATCGATAATGGGTTCTGTATAGCAGGTGTCTTCCTTCCTTTTGACAATATAATCATATTTGCGAATCATAACCCGACAGCTTCTGAACATTAATATTGCACAACAAAGAATGAACTGCATGCAGTTTTTATATTTGACAGACATTACTACCACTACTTATATGATAGGAAATGGCGATGAACCTTGAAAGTCTGAGCACGTTTTGAACTACAGTATTGACAAATACAACTCCACTGTACAATTCTGTCTGATTCGGTAGCAAAGATATTCCAATAGATTATCCTATGAGTCAGTGAGAGTTTGTCTATGCCTTGAATGTCCGAATTCCGGACACCATGCAGTAGTTAAAGTCATTGCATTAGCAGTCATGACAAACCATATAAGAGGTTATGATACTGTTACGTCTCCGTTTGTTAATTAACTTTCCGTAACTTCGTTCCGACGAAACTTTAGCGACACAAGTTCTTTACTTAATAAAACTGGTTTATTCTTTACGAATACAACTTTACCGATACAC